ACTGCAAAGAGAGTGTTCTGGGGACCTGGGGAAAAAGCAGGTGAAGACTGTGTTTAGGGAATAGTGAAGGGACTGAAGGAAGCAGCACTGTCTTTGCTGGGTATGGACATTTCTCAATTAAAATATTTTTTTTGAAATAATTTTAGGCTGAGAGAAAATTACAAAAGTAGTGTGCAAAGCCCTGGGACCTTTTGTTCAGTTTCCTAGAATGCTGACAGTGTATGTCGTTGCAGCCAGCATGGAGACCTGGAAGCTTACTGTTAGTGCTACAATACTGTTAACAGCCTGCAAGCCTTAGCCATTTTTATTTTATTTTATTTTAACATACATTGGTGCTCTGCCTGCACATGTGTCTGTGTGAGGGTGTCAGATCCCCTGGAACTGAAATTACAGACAGTTGTGAGCTGCCATCTGGGGTGCTGGGAATTGAACTCAGGTCTTCTGGATGAGCAGAACCTCTAAGCCATCTCTCCAGCCCAACCCTTATCAATTTTAAAACAAAGTTTGTATTGATTCTTTTTGAGTTTCACATAATGCACCCTAGTCCCATTCATCTTCCTCCCCTTTCTTATCTGCCCTTCCACCTTGCAACCTCCCCATTTCTCTCTCTCTCTCTCTCTCTCTCTCTCTCTCACACACACACACACGAACAAACAACAAGAAACAAGTTGGGTGTGGTGGCTCACGTCTTTAATTCCAGCACTTGAGAGAGGCAGAGCTAGGTGGATGTCTGAGTTCCAGGCCAGCCTGCTCTACAGTTGGAGTTTCAGGACAGCCAGAGCTATACAGAGAAACTGTCTCAGAAACAACAAACAAACAAAAGCCATAGAAAACCTCTCGCCGTGGAAGCTGTAGTGTATCACAGTGTGTCCCACAGTGTAGCCTCTGTCCGTACATCTTCACGTGTGAATGTTCATTGCAGTGAGTCATTGGTCTGGTTTGAGGTCTCTGGCTTCTGTGATGCCATCAATGTTGGGTACTCCCTGGGACTCCTTCCTGTTATCCTGCTATCCTGCCCTGAGATCCTGCAGCTTCAGATCAGCAGGACCGGCCCTTTCGGGCACCACAAGGGTTTGCAGATGATATAGATTTTGGGGTGGGCCAACTCAGAACCCTGGACCTGGGCCTGGGCGATAGCTGAGCTGGCCAATGCCAGGCTCTCCTTTATCCACACCGCCAGAGCGAGCTCTCCAGCACTGCTCCGGCTAGGCCACCCAATGCGCCATAAGCAGGAGGCAGGGTCAGCTCTCCCACTCTCATGCCCTCGGGGCCAGCTCACCTGCACCCACGCCTCCAGACCAGCTCCACTGTGCTGCCCAGGCAAGGTGCAGGGCCTGCTCTCCCAAACGCTGCAGCTGGGAGGGGCAGGGACAACTTACCCGCTCTCATGACCCTGGGGTCAGCTCTCCCTACTGCCTCAGGGCCCCCTCCCACCTCATGGCAGAAGAGTGTGCTCATATGCTGGGGACTGGTTCACCTGTGCCCCCTTGGCCAGGGTCAGCCTCACTGTGCTGCTCAGGAGTGATGCGGCTGGGGGCAGGACCAGTTCACGGCTGTCATTATCTTGGGGTCAGCTCACCTGCGCCCCAGACACCAGAGTCAGTCAGCACATCCAGGCGAGGTACAGGGCTGGCTCTCCAGAGTGCTGCAGTCAGTGAGGGGGACAGTTCTGCCCTACCCCTGGGCATCCGAGGGCTCCCTGGAGCTACCCTGACCAGGGACATCCTCCGTGTTCCCTAGTGGTGATACGAGCTGTGGACATCGGCACAGACCCCTGCTGATGCACTGCACGGACTCAGACATGGACTTCAGCTTGGGCTGGGACCTCACCACGGCCCCAGGTGGCAGGGATAGTCACTCGCAACAGGCTCCTCCTCTCCACCCTCCAGTCTCCAGTTCCCTCTCTCTTCATGATGCTCAAGCTGCTCCACTTCTTCTCTTCCATCTGACCACCACAAACTCATTCATTGTGGTGGCTGCCGCTGCAGGCTGGCTGTGTGGCTGGCAGGCCCCTGGGTGACATCCTCCATCCACGACGCATGGGGTGGTGGCAAGCTGTGTCTATGGCCAGCCCACGGGGTGCTGGAGAGCAGGTCCGGGGGTGCATGGTGAGCTGCAGGTCTCTGTCTTCCTCCTCCCGTGCTCACTGCCTATATTTGATTTGATTTTTATGAGTTCTAGGCATAAAACCCCTCTGGCCGCCAAGCCAGGCATCAGGCTAGGATGAACAAAAGCCTGCCATCTGCTCTGCTCCTGACTAAGAACACTTTACTGACTCTGCGTCCCCAGAGTACTGCGGTGTACAAACCTCTTAAGCTGTCCCATGCCATAGAGCCCACAAATAAAAAAGACAGCGCTAACTAGTCATAATGTCAGCATTCAAGGGACCAGAGAGAAGCAAAGGCACAGAGAGAAAACGCTCCAGTGGAGACTGGAGCAAATGGAGAAGAAAAGAGAATGAAGAACAGAAGATGGAGGGTCAAGAGTTAGCTCAGAGTCTGCAGTGAAGACTAAAAAAGAAATACCAATTAAACTGTGGAGCGGGAAGAGGGAGTCAAACGGGGGCAGAAATGAAAACCACTGGACCCAAGAGAGAAAGGCATAGAAAGGGTGTGTCCTGCTACAGATCATTCCAGTGACTGGGCATTTTCAAAACAACAAAAAGGGATGGCAAATTGGGTGTGGTGGGACACACCTATATTCCTGGCATTCAACAGACAGAGGCAGGAAGATCTCTATGACCTCAAGGCCAGATTGGTCTACACTGGAGTGTTCCTTGACAGTCGGACCCTGTCTCAAAACAGAAAAGAAGGGAAATGGGGAACAAGGTGTGGTGGCCTAGACCTGCAGCCTCAGCACTGAAAAGGCAGGAGGAGGCCAGCCTGGTCTACAAAGCCAGGGCACATAGTAATATGGTCTTTCAATAAATCAATAAAAAAGAGTGACTCAGAGTTTGGGGCTGGATCAGGCAGGAGCTTGGTGGCAGAGAAGAGATCTCCATTAGCCAGAACCTGTCTCAAAACAAAAACAAAAACAAAAAACAAACAAAAAAGGGTCCCAATGGCCTATTTGGTGTCCTTTCCCTTCCCCCCACTCTGGGATAGAAGCAAAGGGAGGGGACATTTTTTTTCCAGCTCGCCGCTATTTATAACTCTAATCAAGAAATGAGTCCAAGAGAAGAGATGGGGAAGAATTTGACAAAACAGTGACCTCACAGCCTTGCTTTGCCTCCTGGCTTCTCTGTCTTCCTAGGCATTGGTCTGTGTGCACCCTTCTCTGACTGCTTCATCTGAAATCCTGTTTCTAACAGCTAGCCCAGTGTCACTCCAAATATCCCATATTCTTGTGAGTTCTCTTCTTCCCTTTCTTAAAAGCAGCTTCTTCCGTATCCTCTTGTCCCTCTTCTTTGGTCAGGATTATACTTTGGCAGAAAAAAAGTGGGATTCTTGAAGGAGGGGGCTACAGTTGGGATACAAAGTGAATAAACTGTAATTAATATAAAAAATTTAAAAAATTATAAAAAAGAATCATCTTTGCCCACAGGTCATTTAAAATGCACACAATAGTTTGGCCATTTTTGTAACGCTCTGGAGCACGCCTCTAGACAGGTGCTAGGAAAGAGAAGTGTCTGCAAGGCAGGCACCTTCAGTATTTCCTTTCTAGTGTGTTTGTCTCAGAGCCCCAGAAAAAACATGATGTGAAAATGTAGAAGAGCAAAACTGGGATGGCACCCAGCACTCAGGACTCCTCCTCAGCCTGTGACTCAGGTCAACATGCCTTTAGAGCCCCAGCTGCCTCCCTTCCTGCACCTGCAAGTTGGCTTGCCTCTCTCTGCCCTCCGCGGGCTTCCCATAAATCCAAGGCTGAAATCAGATGCCAAGAATCTGCTTCTGACCTCCTCTGCCCAAATATTTAAGAAGTCACCTCACCCGCCACAGGAGGAAGAAGCAGAAAATAAGAGAGATTGGTTACCCAAAATTAGCCTGGCTATAAATAGTGGGTCAAGGGGTTGGCGGGTGGAGAACACGCAGACTACTAAATCAGCTTAGTACTGAAGATAAACACACTTCCCTGCGGGGTAATCCAGAACACTGGGTCGCAGTGCTGAGCTGCATAACAGACATGCAGAAACTAGAAAAACCCAGACAGAGAATGAGGGACGTCCACATGAAACATCCTGCCAGGAAACGTCTTGTATTTGAGTCAAGAGTTTAGAAATTAGTAGAACTGATAAGCAATGTTCAAAGCTTGGCACGGTACTTCACGCCAAACCCTCACAGGCAAGATCTGCAGTATGAGGCCAGCCTGGACCACACAACAAAATCCGAAGAGCCCAGGGCAGGGGCATACATAGCTCAGGGGAAGAACACCTTCCTAGCATACATAAATTCGTGGATTATGCTACCCAACACCACATAAGCAAAAATACTTTATATACACTGATATAACACACTCAAAATAACGGATCTATAAAAACAAAGACCACGTTGGTGTTTGCCAGGGGATAAAGGCAGGGGGTGGGCCCAAGTATTAGAGGAAGGCTGAAGGGGGCTCCTTCACTGTAGCAGGCTCCTCAACAATGGTGGTCGAGGCTGTACTTGGTAAAATTGCGCAGTACTAAATGAATACACATGTAAATGATGTTTTAAGTAGATACGGCAACGGGCGAAGAGGAGTGCGCAGAAAGGATGGGGCGGCTGGACCCAAGGCACGGGGGGCTACGGGTGCTAGACCTGTTCCCACCTTGATGTCGGTCTGGGCATCCCGAGTCTACGTTTGTGGCTGGAGGCAGGGGGCGGGACAGAGGCAGGGGCGGGGCCTGGGCGGTGTCCCAGAAAGCAGGCGGAGCCCGAGCGCGAGCCGGAGCGCACGCCGGCACTCCCGCTGCGGTAGTTGTACATAGCAGGTCCTGGGGCAGCGGAGGGGAGGACTAAAGAGGGGTCCCCAGGAGAAAGATCGGAAGACCCTGAAAGACCAGCTAGGTTTCAGGAACCAGAAACACTTCTGGGGAACCCTGGGGCTCGGGGCGCGCGACCATTTACTGGCGCCAGCAGGCAGCGCGAGCAGGGTTGGTCCCATGGCCAAGCTTCTGAGCTGCGATTCCCTCCGGCCCCCTGGGATTTTCTACCTTTTTAGTTCCTTGTTCACTGGACTACTCTTACCACGGGCTGTCGCCTTCAATCTGGATGTGATGGGCGCCCTACGGAAGGAGGGGCAAGCTGGCAGTCTCTTCGGCTTCTCGGTGGCCCTGCACAGACAATTACAGCCCCGACCCCAGAGCTGGTGAGTCACGCCACCCGCCAGGAGCCCCCAGGCTCGAGCCCTGGGCTATCCTTCTCCCAACTCCTCACCTACCCATCCCTTAGGCTTTTACTGGTACTCCAAGCCTTGCCTCGTCTTGTCCAGGTTCCCAGAAGGGTCTTGCCTTGGGAATGCTTTGGAGAGCAATAAGCAATCCTCTTGCCAGAGACCCACTTCCTTTTGCCTTTCTCCTCAGTTTGCATCCTTGCTCCTCTTCTTCCTCAAAAGGGTGAACTGCTCTAGGAAGGGAGGGCGAGCATTCTGTCTCTGCATAGGGCGCAAGGAGTGGGCAAGGGCAGAGAGGGTGATGGTGCCATGGAGGGAAAGAGAGGAGAAAACAGAAATAGCTACTGCCAGAGCATCACCACGATGAGTGGGGACTGCAGGGCACGTGGTGGGGGGCGACAGGAGTGATGTGGCTTAGCACAGCAGGGAGACTATAGGAAGACCTGAAAAGGCCTGGCAATCTGCAGTAATGGTTCGGTCACAGACAGTGGCAGAAAAATAGAGACTCTCTGAGTAGCAAGGAATGGTGGCAGCTGCCATCACCGCAGCTAGAAACAGCAGCAGCAGCAGCGGCAGCAGTAAGGTCCAGTAAAGACACGAGGCTGCTTCCTTTCCTCCTCAGGATCCTTCCAGATGCAGAAATCTCAGCAGCAGGGAAAGACAAGGGAGAATGAGAGGGAGAGGATAATTGCCCTCTTTTTAGGACCCCGGTAGACAGGCACATTTGCAGTTGGTTGTGTTTCGATAGCCTTGGTTCTCACGACACACGAAAAGAGGTGAGAACAGGAAGAAAACTTCCCACCCCCTCTCACCAAAGGGCTTCCCCCCCATAGCCAATCTGTAAGCCACATTTAAGTGTCCATTACTGGGATCGATGCTGTCCTCAGGGACTGTCTTCTCCTTTTACTATTGGTCTGGGGGCAGGAGGCAGGGACACCAGTTTATTTCTCCCCACTGGAGGTGGGGGGAGCCTTAATCTTTCTCCTTCCATTATTTCTGTCATCTGGGAGAAGAGTCTGCTCTCTGAACCTTTGGGAAAGATGGAAACTAACTGACATCTCTAGCCAGCATCAGGCTTTACGTCCATCTCTTCCTCCCCGCTCTCCCTCCTTCCCCCATCTGTTAAGAGTTCCAGGCCCTGGAGGCCTTTTTAGGACATGCCGAACTCTCCAAGTTATTTCTAGGCAAATTCTAGGTTATTTTTAATAGCTTGGTCTCTTGTCATTTTCCCCTTCTCTGAAGGTGGCCCCTGATTCTGCCTCCCAGAGCCAAGTTGGGGGTATTCCCGGAGGGGCCTGACTGTCTGGCTCCATTTTGCTCCAGCAGGGGGCGTTCTGCTGGCTGAGGGCACGGAGAAGCTGCCGCTTGATTGATCCCTCTGGAGTTGCACGTGGTCCTCTTTCGCGCTAACAAGACCTGATTTGTTTCCAGTCTAACTTAGACAAACGTCAAGGTTTAACCTTCTTACTCCTTACCGCATTTATTTCCATCAGTTGTAAAACGTAGGCAAACAATATCGCTATCACATAGGGTTGTCCTTAATATATGTGGCCTATTTAGACTAGCACAAAGCCTGCGGTGAGTGCTGTGAAAGCGGGTGTTGTACTGGAGCCTTTGTTGGGATTCACAGAGCTCACGATCAAACAGCTTTACAGCATCCTGGATCCAGAGAGGCTGGGCTGGAGGGATCCTAGGCGGAGCCAGCCTTCCACACAGCTTTCCCTGAGGGCCACTCACGCTGTGCTGGGTCAGGGAGGGGCTGGCCTGAGGCTGACTCTGGTAGGGTACAGTAGCAGTGCCACAGTGCCCACCGGCACCCCTTGCAGGGGCTGATCCCCAGGCGTGCTCCCAGGATGGAGCCCTGAAGGAGAGTGTGGCTGGGGCGCTGGCTCTTGCTCCAGGAGGAACTGGCTGGTTTTGTTCTTCTAGGAGTAGGGTTGGTCACTGAGCTTCTGTCCATGTGAACCTCTTCCGTCCTTCCTGCCCTTGGCCTTTGGGGAGATGTGAACTTTGGACACTTACACCTTTACTTCCTTTAGCTGTGCATCTGTGCACTGAACAGTGGAGGCACTGGGTGTCTCTGTGAGTCCACAAAAGGTAATCGGCACCTCCTATGGGACAAGGAAACGTTGGGCAATCCTGAGTAACTGCTGACAGCCCCTGCGCCTGCAGGTTGGTGCCCTGTGGCCGGTGCAGGCTGGACTTGGTTTTCTCAGGGACCAGCCCCTAGATTTCCTTCTTCCTCCTCCTCTCCTTTCTGGAGAGGCTCCAGCCTTCTGAAACTGGCTAGGCAATGTAATTAGGCAGATGTGCATCTGAACGTTCGGAGGCTGCTTCAAGTATTTAGACGAGTCTGGAAGATAAGAATCCTTATCTTATAGGATTGTGAGATTAAGGGGGATAATGCTTGTGCTCTGTCCTAGGAATCCAAGCAGAGAGTGGTAAAGCTTCATTTCTCCAACCTTCTCTTCTGTCTAGCTCAGGGCCTGAGGTATAGTAGGTGCTGAATAAATATCACTTTCTTGTCTTATCGGTGCTTGGCCCCGGGCTTGGTGTGTAATGAAGTGTGAGTATGCTTATTTTGCCTGTGTGTATTGTGTGCACTGCCTGGCGTCTCTGCCCAGAAGAGGGTGTAAGATCCCCTGGAATTGGAGTTCAGTGTGGCTGTGAGCCAACATGTGGGTGCTGGGAACAAAACCAGGTCCTACCAGGTCCTATGCAGAAGCAACCAGTGCTTTTTTTTTTTTTTTTTCCCCTCCCTGGGGTAAGGTTTCTCTGTGTGCCTCTGTCTATCCTGGAACTCACTCTGTAGACCAGGCTGGCCTTGAACTCATAGAGATCCACCTGCCTCTGCCTCTGGAGCGCTGAAACTAAAGGCGTGTGCCACCACCAACGTCCCACAAGTGCTGTTAACGAAGTTGTCTCTATAATCCCTCATCCCTTCTATTAAAATATTTATGTGTTCCCTGTGACAATATAAAGTCATGTGCACAGAGGTCATAAGAGGATGTTAGATCCTCTGAAGCTGACATTACAGGCAGTTGAGAGCCACCTGGTGTGGGTGCTGGGAATGGAACCCAGGTCCTCTGCAAGAGCAGCTGCATGGTCCCCTGACCCTGTTTTGACACTGGGTCTGATATGGGATGACAGCTGCTAAGATACAGCGGGAATTGTGGGAACCTTTTCCCTCACCCGGTCTGGCTCAGTGCCCCACAGATGTCTGTCAGTAATACTGTCTGACAGAGTGGGACATGGAAGAGTGTGGGAGAGAGGCACTGCGGCTTGTCCTGCCGCCTTTTCCTGAAGAGAGAGGATCTCTGCAGCCATTTAGATATCAGTTACTTCCCAGTCACTCCTGGCTCTGGGGTCCAGTCCTGGGGGACCCAGGCAGCCTCCGTTCCCAGTACAGTCTCCCTCTAGGGAAGATGCTTTGGCTGTAATCATGGAAAATTTTTCTGCCAAGAAAGTTTAGCTGAGAAAAAGGCTAGGGGGTGGTAAGGGAGTAGATTGGGCATGGTCTGGGGGAGAGGAAAAGAAAAAGCTGTGGATGGAGGAGAAGATGGATGGGAAAGGGTATGGGGAGAATATGGGAATATGAGAATGCGGGAAAGGATACAGTGGGGCTGGAGGCTATGAGAAACCCTTCTTATGTCCATGCCTGACTGAATTTGGGGGCATGCCTGAGTTTGGGGCTTGCAGAGCTACCAGTGGGTAGGGTCTTCACTGGGCACATGGTGAAGGGGAAGCAGGCCCATTTCTAGCCTCCTGCCTGGCCTCTGAAGCTGTCCCTGAGCCACACTGTGTTGCCATTCTGTGTGCCTGCTGTTGTTCTTGCTCTAGGCATTCTTGCCATTTCTGGCAGGGCTTCAGCTGGACCAGGGTTAAGGAGGAGGGCAGAGTCTGAGGCTGAGGCCAAGCAGGGTGACTGGGAGCCTGTTGGGAACAGGTGCTAGGGACGGGCAGTTCTCTTAAGCTGGCAATGCTGGCAGGCTGCTCTGGCTGGCATGTGTATTCACATGTGTGTATCTGCTCTTCTGTTGGTCCTTTGAGTAGAGAGTAAGTACACATGTGACAAGATTGTAGGCTAGGTCTGGTAACATGTCCTTGTCAGAATTTGAGAAAAATGACTTTTGTTTTTTCTCTTTAGTACTTGAACACTCTGCTTGGCAGAGTTGGGGCCAGGGAAACTCTGGGTGACTAGAGCACTTTGGACTCTGAGTCTAGCCCTTGTCCCATCCTCCAGGCTGCTGGTGGGTGCTCCCCAGGCCCTGGCTCTCCCTGGGCAGCAGGCAAATCGCACTGGAGGCCTCTTTGCTTGTCCCCTGAGCCTAGAGGAGACAGACTGCTACAGAGTGGACATCGACAGAGAAGGTGTGGCCTTGGGAGAGTGCAATAGGGGCAGAAGAGGGTGGGGTGGGGCTTTGTCTCCTGTTCCCTCCTCTGATTCCCAGGGTCTTGCCACAGCTAATGTGCAGAAGGAAAGCAAGGAGAACCAGTGGTTGGGAGTCAGTGTCCGGAGCCAGGGACCCGGGGGCAAGATTGTCGTGAGTACTACTTCTTGTGATAGTTCAGAAATCATGATGGCGTGTGTACATTGTATTCGTGTGCAGAATACAAACTGGGCACATGACATAGTCCCTAGAACCACTGGGTGTCACACACAAGTGTAAGAGACATTCTCTTTCCTTATCCATTTAAAAATATCCATCTATGATATCTATCTAACCATCCATGCAACTGTCATCGTACTGCAGCCCTCCTCTTATTTCAGGCATTATGCTGGTTTCTGAGAGAGGACACGTGAACACAGCAGAGACCTGGGCACTGCCAAATAGCTAGGGAAATTCTTTCATTTTCTTGACAGAGCCTCACTTTGTAGCTCTGTCTGGCCTGGGTCTCAAAGAGATCCTCCTGCAGCCTTTTAGTTTTGACACTTCCCTTCCTTCCTTCCTTCCTTCCTTCCTTCCTTCCTTCCTTCCTTCCTTCCTTCCTTCCTTCCACCTCTCACTAACATACAAAGAAATGGAACTATCAGTAGCTATCAATAGCGGTCACCTTAAGGCTGAATATAAGTAACTTTAGCTAAGTGATCTGGTCCCTAGTCCATAAAGACAGAGCGGCGAGGAAGGGCGCTGTGGGTGCTCTGGGCCATGCTCCTGAGAAGAGGAGATATTGGGGCATGTTCTTTCTGGAGGTGATGGCACAAAGGTCTGGTACGGGGGCTGGGAATGTGACTCAGTGCTTGAGCATCTGAGCTGGACTCCTAGACTAGCCCAACCAGAAGCCCTGGTCCCAGGGAGAGACTCTCAAAACACAAACTTTTGAGGAATGACACCCAAGGTTGTCTCCTAATTTCCACATACACCTGACATGTGTGTGCACTGATACTGTCTACATGTGCACACACCAAACTCAGCATGTTACAAGGTTGTCACATGATCAGGAAAGCACATGCTCTCTGTGCCGTCACTTATGTGTGTGTGAATACCCAGGCAGAGCGTAGGACAAAGCCGTCTTCCTTTAAGTGGCTTCAGGTTGGGATGCTAGATAAGGGCTTCAGGCTGGGTGGTGACGCTCAAGTGCTGCTGGCCAAGGGTCACGTGTGTCTGTGTCTGTGTGCCAGATGTTTGCATATGAACAACTTGTCGGTCCCTGCTAAATACAGGAAATGACCGCCCTCCCACCCTCTCACAGACCTGTGCGCACCGTTATGAGTCTCGACAGAGAGTGGATCAGATCTTGGAGACTCGGGATGTGATTGGTCGCTGCTTTGTGCTAAGTCAGGACCTGACCATCCGAGATGAGTTGGATGGTGGCGAGTGGAAGTTCTGTGAGGGGCGCCCACAGGGCCACGAACAGTTTGGGTTCTGCCAGCAGGGCACAGCTGCCACCTTCTCCCCTGACAGCCACTACCTCATTTTTGGGGCTCCAGGAACCTATAACTGGAAAGGTGAGTCATTCATTGGGGAGGGTAAGGAGAGCAAAACATCCTCTTACCTCAGAGATGGGATTCTATCCGAGCGGGATTCCACTGCTGGCAGTACAGGGCCAAGCATGACCACAAGGGGGCCTGTGGAACAGCCATGCCTTCCAAGCCCATCATGCTAGCACTTGAGTGAATGGGGTACCAACCTACTCTCCGTTGCATGGCCATATGTTTATCTACATGTTGGCATGAGCTCCCACATGCACGGCTGGCCCAGGGCCTGCATGCTCCAACACAGCAGCCTACTCCTCATCACTGCCATTCCCGTCTCTGCACGCTGCCGCTGGCTGAACTGGCACTCGGTGAGTGTAATGCCACGTTGGGGGACCCCCTAGAAGCTTGGGCCAGGGAGATGGTGGAGGTGGGGGCTGAAGAGGAGGAGAGGGGCCGCCCTGCGTGGCTGTCCGGCCGAGTCTGTGGGCTGAGGGTGGTGCACCTTGCTCCCAGCTTGAACACTGATAGGACTGTTCTTGCAGGTACAGCCAGGGTGGAGCTCTGTGCACAGGGCCCGTCGGACCTGGCACACCTGGACGACGGACCTTACGAGGCGGGGGGCGAGAAGGAGCAAGACCCCCGCCTAATCCCGGTCCCTGCCAACAGCTACCTTGGTAGGGACCCCTCCCTGGCCCAGAACCACTCTAACCCTGTGTCCTTTCTCTTGTCCTCTCCATCCTTTTGTCTCTGTCATTTGTCTCTGGCTTCCTGGTTTCTCTCATTTTCGTCCACTCCTTCTCCCCTTTTTGCCTTCTTCTGGCCTTTCTGTCTGGCTCTCGCTCCCTTCTCTTCCCGTCTGTCCTTTCCTTGCCTTCTCTCCCCGACCTGCCGCCCACAGGCTTGCTTTTTGTGACCAACATTGATAGCTCAGACCCTGACCAGCTGGTGTATAAAACTTTGGACCCTGCTGACCGGCTCACAGGACCAGCCGGAGACTTGACCTTGAATAGCTATTTAGGTTTGTAAGCTCCTGCGTCCTGGGCCCCGGGGTTTGGCCCTGGCCTTCCCACTTCCCCAATAGGGAGTGTCCTTTCCTTTCATGCCTTCCCCCAACACACACCCAGGGAGACACACATTGAACCCAAACTGCAGAGGAGAATTAGGCCTGAAAAGAAGAGGTCTCAAAGGTGATAGCCTCAGGGGTTGTGAGCCAAGGGTCTCTATCGAGGAAACCCAGCTAGAATGAGATGACCAGGGCTTGGAAGGACAGTATTGGTCCCCAGGGAAGTCCTTCTGAGGGGTGGATGATAGACTTCCATTGGAGAAAGCTCTAGCCTTGTGGGTAAGCCCTTCATAGCCATTTACAGACTTCTCTGCATACTGACAAGGATGAAATAAGCCCAGGAGACATTCGAGTGAAGCAAACCCTTTCTTGTCCCCTGGTCTTTCTCCCATATATGTAAAGACTGTTTCCCCTGGCAGGGTGGGAAAGATGGGGAACAGAAAGCTCACTGGACATCAGTGGGCCTTCTGGGTGTGTAAACACGAGGGGCCCCCTCTTCTCCAGGTCCCCAGGTTGGGCATGGTTACTCTGGCCCGGCTCCTCTTACCAAGGCACCAAGGCTCCTCTGTCCATGCCTTTCTGCTCCATGACACAGCCTGTGTCTCTGACCAGGAGGGCTGCAAGGATTCCAGGCCCAGGCAGGGGAGGAGGAATAACCCAGCCCCAGTGGTGGTGGCTGCTGAGAGCAACTCTTCCTCGTGGCTCCAGGGGCCCATCCAGCTTGTGGTCACTCACCATAATGGTTCCCTCACCTAGGGTTCTCCATCGACTCTGGGAAGGGTCTCATGCGTTCGGAGGAGCTGAGCTTTGTGGCGGGAGCCCCCCGCGCCAACCACAAAGGGGCGGTGGTCATTCTCCGCAAGGACAGTGCCAGCCGCCTGATACCTGAGGTGGTGCTGTCGGGGGAGCGCCTGACCTCTGGCTTTGGCTACTCACTGGCGGTGGCTGATCTCAACAATGATGGGTGAGGGCGGGCAAAGGAAGTGCCTCTGGGTCCGGGAGTGGCTCCTACGCTTTGTCCTGGGCCCCTTGGCCTAGAGGGCCCAGACCGTGTCCCTGTCCACAGCTGGCCAGATCTGATTGTGGGCGCCCCCTACTTCTTTGAACGCCAAGAAGAGCTGGGAGGCGCCGTGTACGTGTACATGAACCAGGGTGGTCGCTGGGCAGATGTCACTCCTCTCCGGCTCTGCGGCTCCCCTGACTCCATGTTTGGGGTCAGCCTGGCTGTCTTGGGGGACCTCAACCAAGATGGCTTTCCAGGTATGACTGGGGTTGGGAAAGCTCAGTGTGGGATGGGGCTGAGAAGGAAATGGAATCCCTCAGAGACCAGTTTTTTGTTTTTAAACTGGAACAAGTTGAGCTGGTACTATCTGGTGGGAGTGGCTAAGAGGACGGACGAGGGGACCTGGGGAAGTGCCGTGCCTGTTATCCTCCCCGTGCCAGAGTGTCTTTTCTCCCTCCCCAGATCTTGCCGTGGGAGCGCCGTTCGACGGAGACGGGAAAGTCTTTATCTACCATGGGAGCAGCCTGGGGGTGGTGGTCAAGCCTTCACAGGTGAGGGGGCCGCGGGCGTGGGGCGACGGCTCTGGGCGGGGTCAGGGCAGGCGAGGCTGACTGCTCCCTCCAGGTGCTGGAGGGCGAGGCCGTGGGCATCAAGAGCTTCGGCTACTCCCTGTCCGGTGGCCTGGATGTGGACGGAAATCACTACCCGGACCTGCTGGTGGGCTCCCTGGCTGACGCGGCTGCGCTGTTCAGGTGAGCCTGGAGGCCATCGGACACTCCCCGCAGCCCCCTTCCTGTCCCCCACCTGCCCCTGCGGAGCCCGCCCCCTCACACTCCCTCCCTACCCGACAAACTCTGCCCAGGGCCAGGCCGGTTCTCCATGTCTCCCAAGAGCTCTCCATTACGCCGAGAGCCATCGACCTAGAGCAGCCCAACTGCGCGGGTGGACGCTTGGTCTGGTGAGGACCGGGGGGAGGGGTGAGTGGGGGGGCGGCGGAGGGCTGAGGAGGCTGCCAGTGCCCGCTTTCCTCGTCTCTCTGCCCTAGTTGGGCCGGGGCTGTGCTAGAAGCAGGGTCTGGGGTCTCGCCTGCTCACGAGCCGCCCCCCCACAGCGTGGATGTGCAGATCTGCTTCAGCTATGTTGCGGTGCCCAGCAGCTACAGCCCTGCCGTGGGTGAGTCCTCCCCTGCTTGCTCGGATGGCCTCCAGGGGGCAGGGCGGAGCAGGGTCCTCAGCTCACCCGCCTCCCTCTTCCCCCTGCACGCCGCAGCCCTGCACTACGTGTTAGACGGGGACACAGACCGGAGGCTCCGGGGCCAGCTCCCACGCGTGACTTTCCTGAGACGAGGCCCGGATGACCTCAAGCACCAGTCCTCAAGCACTGTGTGGCTGAAGCAGCAGCATGACCGCGTCTGCGGAGACACCGTGCTGCAGCTGCAGGTGGGCCCTGACTTACCTCCAAGCAACCCTGTCATTACATGTCTTTTCCTTGTCTCTTCTCTTGCACTCTCAAAACTCGGAAGCGCTGAGCTCCAAGGAGCTGGAGAGATGCTCAGCAGCTCAGGGTTGTCCTGCTCTTGCAGGTGGCTCAGGTTAGGGCCCTAGCACCTACCGTGGGTGCTAGTCCTGCCTTGCAACTCCAGCCTCAGGGACCTGACCTGCCTGTCTGGCTTCTTCGGATACTTGCACTCATGTGCTTATATTCACACACACACGCACACGCACATGCACGCACACCACACACAATTAAAAAGATAAACATTCTTTGTACTTGGCTGTGTATATACTAAAACTGGAATGAGAGAAGGCTATCATGGCTTCTGCATGAGAATTACACGTAAATTTGTGAAGAATTCCATATTCTAAAAAAATAAGTCTAGGCACCGCATGATCTCCCTTTCGAGCTCCTTTCTACCCACTTTCTCCTCTCTGCCTGATTTTCTTGCAGTGAGAGGGGATATCTGTATGTAGCCCAGGCTGGCCTGGAATTTCATGATAGAGGCCAGGCTGTCCTAAATATGAGATCCTACTTCCCTAGCCTTTTGTCTGTCTGGCCCTCAGGGAAGGCTTTTCACTGCTCTGGTCTCTCTTTCTCATCCTTACTCACTCTCCCACCTCCATCTCCGTCGCCCTCAGTTTCTTTCCAAGCTTGAGAGTCTTCAGTGCACTGGTGGGGGCCTTGGTCAGGGCTGGAACAGGGCTTGCTCCAGTGAGGACCAATCTTTCCCTTCCAGGAGAATGTCAAAGACAAGCTCCGGGCCATTGTGGTCACCCTATCATATGGTCTCCAGCCCCCTCGGTTACGCAGACAAGCTCCTGGCCAGGGGCTCCCCCCTGTGGCTCCCATCCTGAATGCACACCAACCTAGCACCCAGAGGACCGAGGTGAGCATGGGGGACGTGGAGCTGGGAGGGACAACGCCCTGCTGTCTCCACTGTGACAGCCACTCGCAGCTGGCAAAGCTCATCCACACATGCAGCCCCAGTACAATCCAAATAGGTAGGTCCTGTGACACCTTAAAAGTAAAATGGCCCAAACGACCATGAGCTCCTTGTAGAAGAGGGTAGTGATCCTTCACCTGCTGCAGCCACTTGGGTCTTGGAGTGATAAAGGCCTGTTGTCTTCTGAGATGACATCAAGGCCCTTAAATCCCCTTTCTCCCGTTCAGTGGGAAGGGGCAGCCTGCAGCTCCTTGCACATTCTCTGGGCAGCCTGGTGATGGTACTGTCACTGTTCCCCACAGTGTCTGTGTGGCATCTAGTTTGTACAGTCTGCAGCCTACCTATGCAGCGGCCTGCACGGCAGCGTGACAGCGCTCCCTTCCGCAGCTCAGGAGATTACGTGGCAGCTTAGTGTCACACAGTTTCCAAGTGTCAGTTCCGGAGTTGCTTAAGCCCATGTTTCCCTAACACGCTCTTGGTGACACATTTGACCCTTGCCTCAACCTTAGAGATGATCTTCTCCTGAACACTCTCCTCAGATCCACTTCCTGAAGCAAGGCTGTGGTGATGATAAGATCTGTCAGAGCAACCTGCAGCTCGTGCAGGCCAGATTCTGTTCCCGGATCAGTGACACGGAGTTCCAGCCTCTGCCCATGTGAGAAGGGTGGAGGAGGGGAGGGCCAGGACTCAGCAAATGGAGGGTGCCTCCTCAGAGCTGTCAGAAGACTGAGGCGAGGGCTGGGGTTGGGACCACAGTGTCCTGACCAGAGATGACGATTTTCCTAGTCAGTGTAACACTATGCTGAACACTCCGTTCCAGTGCTCACAGCTCTGTGAGGCAGGGGTGACTGGCTCCGTGTCATGTATGCCCAGGGAGCATAGTCATCCTCCGTGTTCATACGAGGCCAGAGAGCGGTGGACTCCTTTGTACACCGGAAGAGCTGGCGTGATTCTCGGGCCCTGGCGTGGGTTGGAGAGCGCGTGCTTGATTGGGAAGTAGGAGGAGAGAGATGGTGGAGCCCCTGGTGAGCTGGGTCCCCTGTTCCAGGGATGCGGACGGAACAACGGCCCTGTTTGCACTGAGCGGGCAGCCGTTCATAGGCCTGGAGCTGATGGTCACCAACCTGCCCTCGGACCCCGCCCGGCCTCAGGCAGACGGGGATGATGCTCATGAAGCCCAGCTCTTGGTCACCCTCCCAGCCTCACTGCGCTACTCAGGAGTCCGCACCCTGGACTCTGTGGTAAGAGCCTGGGGCACAGGGGGTCCTTGAATTTTGTTGTTGTTTCTTTTGTGACTTTTTAAAAGTAGTTATAGGTCTTATGATAATGGTTCAAACCTGTCCACCACCGTGCTTCGCTCACTATAGCTGCTCTCATTATTCTTCTGCTCAAGCTTAATTATTGTTCCATTGCTGCAAAGAGACAGCATGACCATGGCAACTTTTGTGTGTGTGTGTATATGTGTGTTTTGTTTTTCAAGATAGAATTTCTCTGTGTAGCCCTGGCTTTTTAGACCAGGCTGGCCTCAAACTCACAAACATCCTCTTGCCTCTGCCTCCTGTTGGGATTAAAGGCCCTGACCATGACAATTCTTACACAGGAAAGCGTTTAACTGGGGCTGGGTTACACTTTCAGAGGTTTAGTCCATTATTGTTATGGCGGCACACAGGCAGACATGGGGCTGGAGAAGCAGCTGAGAGTTCCACATCTGGATTAGGAGGCAGCAGAAAGAGAGATTGGGCCTGGATTGAGCATTTGAAACCCCAAAGCCCACCCTCAGTGACACACATCTTCCAACAAGGCCACACCTACTCCAAGGCCATACCGCCTAATAGTGCTACTCCCTAATGACCAAACATTCAAATCTGTAGGCCTATGAGGGACATTCTTATTCAAGCTACCACACTTTCTTTTCTCCTTTTAGTTTTCCTCCTTTCCCTACATAGCTCCCCCATCCCATGCTCATATATATTTGTAGAAAAAAAGCATACCTGTCTTTCTTTCTACTTCCAGTATTAAGCTGTCTTGTTCCCCCTTTTCTCTTTAGACTGCTTCTTCCTCCCAACATTGTCTCGCTCTGTGTGTGTGTGTGTGTGTGTGTGTGTGTGTTTGTGAGAGAGTCACATTACATAACCTTGGCCAGGTTGGGACTTGCTATGTAGAGCAGGCTGGCCTCAAATTGACAGAGATCCACCTGCCTCTGACTTCAAAGTACTAGCATTAAAGGCCTGCACCCACCACCAAGTAGCAAACTTGGTCCATGTGTCTATTTGAGACGAGATCTTTCGATGTAGCCTAAGCTGGAGTTACAGGCATAGCCCCTACAGTTGGGTATATATGCACACACACTCATATCTATACATATTTAAAAAATTTAGATTCCACATATGAGAGAAAATATGTAATATTTCTTTTTTCCTGTTACCTTCTCTTCTCCCTCATCCTTAGTTTAGAACCCTTCTTCTTCCCATAAAGTTCCCATTCCACTTTTTTTTTTTTTTTGAGACAGCACTTCTCTGTGTAGCTCTGGCTGTTCTGGAACTTGCTTTGTAGACCAGGCTGGCCTCGAACTCAGATCTACCTGCCTCTGTCTTACTAGTGTTGGGATCAAAGGCATGCGCCACTACTTCCTGGCTCCCCTTCCACTTTTATGTCACATATATATTAAACTAGATTTCTTTTATGAGAGAAATGTCACGTTTGTCTTTCTGAGTCTGGCTTGGTTTGCGTAACATGGTCATCTCCAGTTTTATCCATTTTCCTGCAGATGAGGTAGGTTTTTGTTTTGTTTTTGACCTGTCCCTCCCTCTGTGATCCAGGAGAAGCCACTGTGCCTGTCCAATGAGAATGCCTCTCACGTTGAGTGTGAGCTGGGGAGCCCTCTGAAGAGAGGTGCTCAGGTTGGTATATCTGCTTCTGCCCTGTGGAGTGGCCCATCCTTCAGACCTAGTCCTCCCTGACTCACCGTCACCCCACCCTGGACAGGTCACTTTCTACCTCATCTTCAGCACCTCAGGGATCACTATCGAGACCACAGAGCTGGAGGTGGAGCTGTTGTTGGCCACGTAAGCTTGCAGGGGGGTCACTTCAGCTTCAAGCCCCTCCTGGGGGTTTCCTGTGCCAGCTGCCCACACGTGCCCATGTGTGCATTCCAGGATCAGTGAGCAGGAGCTGCGTCCAGTGTCTGTTCGAGCGCACGTCTTCATTGAGCTGCCGCTGTCTGTTTCAGGGTAAGTGTTGCTTAGTGGGCCCCCGTTTGGGCTCTGCCTTATCTCGCCTTACCCTCCTGACTGCATTTGGCTGGACCTCAGGCCTCCTCATCTGCTCCTCTTCTCACCCCCCACAACCAGGGCTGCCTCTCCCCAGCAACTTTTCTTCTCCGGGGAGGTGAAGGGGGAGAGCGCCATGCGGTCTGAGAGGGATGTGGGCAGCAAGGTCAAGTACGAGGTCACGGTAAGCACCTGTTTGTGGCCCCTCCTCACTCCCCTCTCTTCTTGGCACAGAGAAGAGGCTGTTGAAACATGTCTCAAGGTATGGGCTCTTTTCCCATATGGCAGCATGGCAGCCCCAGGCCTCTTCACTGGGCAGATGTGGCTTTCAAACACATTTTGGTGCTGGAGTCTCAGTGAGTTACTGGACAGGGCACTTGTCCTGCAGGTCTGAGAGGCACTGAGGACTCCGAGAAATGGCCTGCTGGGACCTCAGCTAGAATGGGGTCTTAGACAGAGTTGATTGCTTTCCTCATATCTACACTGGCTTGACCTATCCTCTCACACATCCAGCTTTGCCTGGTTTGGTGTGAGGAGAGAGTGATGCCTGCTCTGGTCTAGACTGTGCGTCTTTGGTGATGCTGTGTTTTCTGAGAGCCTCCCCTTCACCTTGCCTCCCTCTGTGTGATGTAGGGTCTGCTCATTTCCTCACACTGCTTTGGGCTCTTAGGTCTCCAATCAAGGCCAGTCACTCAACACTTTGGGCTCTGCCTTCCTCAACATCATGTGGCCCCATGAGATTGCCAACGGGAAGTGGCTGCTGTACCCCATGCGGGTGGAGCTGGAGGGTGGACAGGGGCCTGGGAAGAAAGGGATCTGCTCCCCAAGACCCAACATCCTTCACCTGGTGAGGCCTAGGCAGGGCAGGAGGTGGGGATGGGGCTTGGGAAGAATGTCGTGGGGGCCGTGGTCTGTGTGTATGGTGGAGCCTGTGTGTGTGGAGATGCCATCATGGTTGCAGTATTTGGAGGGACTCTCACTGCTCCTTCCTCTTTCCTGTCCAGGATGTGGACAGCAGGGACAGGAGGCGGCGAGAGCTGGGGCAGCCAGAGCCTCAGGAGCCTCCAGAGAAGCTGGAGCCTAGCACATCCTGGTGGCCGGTGTCCTCTGCCGAGAGGAAGAGAAACATCACTTTGGTGAGGCAGCCACAGTGGGTGTGCATGTGTGACAGAGGGACCATCTCAGGTGTAGAGAGTGGGGGGCCGAGCAAGTGCTGAGCCCCGGGGCACATGGCGGTAGGAGGCGGTAGGAGGCGGTAGGAGGCGGTAGGAGGCGTAGGAGGCGTTGCAGCCCAGCTGCGGTGGGGAGAGCTGGGGGTGGGGGTGAGGTGGCCCTGCAACCCCCAGCGTCCACTCCAGGGTCAGCTGGGGAGCCAAGCAACTGATCCTCTCATTCCTAGAAAACATCACATTTTACAAGGGCTGGGATGGACTCGGCCTCTTGCCTCCTCCTTCTAAGTCCTGGGATTACAGGCATGTGCCGCCAGGCATGTGTTTACCATGTTCTCAGGGTAAGACAGTTATGTCTTAACCATGAGATTTGTTAAGCTTTCTCCCTTGAGCAGTTTTGCTTCTCACTTTCCCGCATGGTTTTGGTATTTATCTGGGTTTGGTGAATGCTCAGTTTTTGTTCCTCCTAGGGCGGTGCTGGCAGTGAGAATGTGGTACAGATATCAGTTAGAGATGCTCAGGTGGGGATAAGCCCAGGCATGACAGTGTAACAGAACAGCCTGGAGATACTTGGCCATTCTCTGGAAGCTGTTGGTGCACTCTGTCATATCATGTCATTTTTCTGGGCTGAAACCTCAGATGCCCCTTTGATACCTAACCTGAGGCCAAAGAACACAGGCATTTTGAAAAAACCTGAACTTTGAAGTAGTTTCTTTTATTTTATCTATTTTATCTCTCTCTCTGATTTCTCGAGGGTTTCTCTGTGTAGCCCTAGCTGTCCTGGAATTCGCTCTGTAGACCAGGCTGGCCTCAAATTCACGGAGCTCTTCTTGCCTCTGCCTCCCGAGTGCTGGGATTAAAATCATGTGCCACTCTGCCCAGCTCAGAAACAGGGTCTTGAACTCATGGCAAGCCCGTCTCAGCCTTCCCGGTGCTAGGATTACAAGGACGTGCCACCATCTCTAGTTATTAACTGGGTTTATTTTTTCTCCAGAATCAAGCAGCACACAATACTGCGCGCTCCCTTTACTCAGCAGGGCTGGGGATCAAACTAGGGCCTTGTATGTACCACACAAACACTCTCCTACCGAACGACAGCCCAGTTGTCCTTCTTTTGAGAGGGCGAGGGATGTCCTACTCAGCAGCCCAGGGTGCCTCCGATTTGTAATCCTTTTATTTCTTCTCAGATGCTACAGTTACAGGCATGGCCCCTGTGCCTGGCTTTACTTATTTATTTTTCTGGCTTTCTTCTTATTTTATTCAATTCATTATTTTTTATAATTTTATTATTTTTAAAAATCACTTTCAGGTGTTTTGCCTGCATGTGTCTCTGTACGGGTGTGACTTGCACCTGTGTCCTCTGGAGAACAGCCATCTTTCCAACTCTCATTTTATTATTTTGATGTGTATGACTGTTCTGCCTGCACGCATGTACACAATGCTTTCTTTTAGAGTCCACATTGGGGTGATCATGGGACATTTTTCTACCTGTTCCTCATTCATTTTACCTCTCAAATTCCTTAAAATATTTTGAAAAGTTTTATGTTTATGAGTATTTTGCCTGCAAATATGTGTGTGCCTGGTGCCTGTAGAGGTCAGAGGAGGACACTTGATTCCCTGGAACTGGAGTTATGGGTGGGTATGAGGTGCTCTGTGGGTTCCTGGAACTGAACACAGGCTGTCTACACAGCCAGTCCTCTTAACTGCTGGCTCATCTCTCCAGCCCCGTCGCTTGGAGCCTTTTTATATGATATAAAGGCAGGTAGCTTTGCTCTTCAAGCTAAGAGCTTTGAATTACTCAAAAGTAGAAAGGTAAAGGAAGACAAAGGTTCCAAAAAGAGGCTAGGGAGATGGCTGGGTGAATAAGGACACTTGCTGCCGAGCCTGGAGACTTGAGCTCCATCCCTGGAGGCACATGGTGGAAGGAGCGACCCAGGGCCGGCAAGTCGCCCTCTGAACTCTGTACGCAAGTAGCAGCATGCCCCTCCCCACTCAGGAAACGTCTTTTAAAAGAGACTCCAAACACTCAAGCCATTCCTGTGAGTGTGAATTGTGAATGGTGACTCAAGGTAGTTTTTAAGCAAGTGGGTTGGAGTCAGGCTAGGAAGGGAGTGTGGGTTTCCTGGCCCGAGTGGGTATGTGGCTGTGCCAAGTCTGAATCTGACTTCAAACATCTGGGCCACCACTAGATCTCTTTTACCCCCCCCCCCCTTTTTGAAGTCTTATTTGTAGTCTTGTTTGTCCTAGAATGCCATATAGAAGAGACTGGCCTCAAACTCACAGAGATCCCCCCACCCTGCCTCTGCCTCCACTCATAGCTTTGCTAGTTCTATGGCCTGAATTAGCTGGCCTTCCTTAATCCTGTTCTTTCAACAAACACTGATGCCAGGCACAGAGACATACCCCAGAGCAGTCTCAGCACACAGGGGCCAAAGAAGGAGGAGAAGTTTGAGGCTAGCTTGGGCTAGTGAGACCCTGTCTCAGACAGAAAGCATCTTTCAGGAGATTTGGAGCTGGTAGTTACTAGGTACTTGGTAACTGAGGCAGTAAGTTGAGTAGGTATCAATTCAGGAAGCCACCCTGCCTGTTGCTGGAAAGCGAAAGACCCCTTCAATGTGTTTTAAAAGCCAATAGTCCAGATTCGAGGTTGGCTTGGGAAGACTTCCTGGAGGAGAGGAGTTTGAGGTCAGATGAGGAGCACGGGAGAGACGGCAGACCTGTGCGCTGCTAGCTCAGGGCCCCACCTGTCCTTGTCCCTAGGACTGCGCCCAGGGCACGGCCAAGTGTGTGGTATTCAGCTGCCCACTCCACAGCTTTGATCGCGCGGCTGTGCTGCAGGTCTGGGGCCGCCTCTGGAACAGCACCTTTTTGGAGGTGAGGGCACTGCTGGGGTTCCACGCTGGGTGTCTTCTGCAGAAATCCACCAGCGCTTACTTCTACCTCTTCCCCATCCAAATGCAGTACTCTGTAAACCCAAGCCAGGCAGAAACACCCTCTGCGTTGGCACAGCCCGTTGTAATCTCGTGGCTGGAGAGGCCTGAGGGGAACAGGAGCATTTAGCAGGGGTCTCCTCCCTGCCCCCTTAGGAGTACATGGCTGTGAAGTCCCTGGAAGTGATCGTCCGAGCCAACATCACCGTGAAGTCCTCCATCAAGAACTTGTTGCTCAGAGACGCGTCCACACTGGTGAGCTGCCTGGTGGGGGTGCGCTGACTGGCTGGCTCCCTCCTGCCCACTCACTCAGCTCTCCAACTTCTTGTTTTTCAGATCCCAGTGATGGTCTACTTGGACCCCATGGCTGTGGTTGCAGAAGGAGTCCCATGGTGGGTCATCCTCCTGGCAGTGCTGGCGGGGCTGTTGGTCCTGGCCCTGCTGGTACTGCTGCTCTGGAAGGTGAGGCTTCGGGAAGAATGGAACCAGTGTGAGCTAAAATTAGAACAAGGTGGTTAGCCTCTCACCCACACACACAGTCGCCCAGCAAGTCTACACTGGGCATTGACCCAGCATGAATCAGGAACTTCATCTGCTTTGGATGTTTGAGAGACGACTCTGGTGCAGATCTGGTCCTCTAGGGTTGTGGAGTGGAGTGGAGTGGAAGCCTTATAGTTGAGGGCAAGGCAGAAGGTGTCGAGACGATGGGAACTCAGAGTGGGGAAGGCTTTGGGGGATATTCCCCTGGAGCTGGGCCTTAGAAGAGGGTGAAGTGGAAGGCCTGGGATGTGGGCGGATGGGAAGAGCACAATGTGAGACTTCCAGAAGAGCCATGGTGGAGTAGAAAGGTGTGGTCTGCTCTAACCGCAGTGGGGCAGACTCGGCTGGGAAGGAAGCTGTGATCCAGGCCAGCAACTGGACTGCTAGCTCTAGGGAACTGTTTGGATCCTGTCCACATGCCAGGATGCGAATGCAACCATTCTTGTTTGAATGGAGCCGTAACAGAACCCTGTTGATTCAGCATGAAGGTCCATAATTGCACATGTCAGTGCAGGCGGCCTCACGCTCCAGCAGCGCTCATCCCTGAGCCACATGCCACATGTGGAGCTTGTGCGGAAGCAAGCACATCCTTGGGGCCCTGCGCATGGCCCTGCCCACCTGCTACTTGCCAAGAGTGCGTCATCAGTGAACCGAGCTCTGGAGTAGCATCCATGCTGTTGAAAACATGCCTGGTCTTAGGTACAATTCATGCCTCCAGGGTTGACCTCAGGTTGCCTGGCCCATCCGCTACTCCCAGGGAAAGGAGACAGAACAGATCTAAAGATCTGCTCCCTTCTCAGCCCTCCCATCCTCTGCTTTTCCCCTTATCCTTCTTCAACATCCCAGTGTGGCTTCTTCCATCGGAACAGTCCAAGCTCATCATTTCCGACCAACTATCACCGAGCCCATCTGGCCGTGCAGCCTTCGGCCATGGAAGTTAGGGGTCCAGGGACTGTGGGGTAACTGTTCTGTGTGCACATGTGTGTGCAAATGTGTGTGTCTATATGTGTATGTGTGTGAGCTAAGTACAGATCCCAGCATTGGTGGAGGTTCAGGGTTGTACAGGGTGAAGAGAGGAGTATGCAAAGGGGTGATGAAGGTCCTAATATCTGAAGTAAGGAGTAATTCGGAAGGTGAGGTTATGAGTGTTGAGCATACGTAGCCCAGCATGCCCTGAATAGTGGGTAGGCTAGGAGTGTGAGCATGTGGGCATGTGGGGTTGCTCCATGCATGACTTTCTGTGGGAGTGAGTGTGCAAAGAGATCCTGTACAGTCTGAGCACGCAGAAGTCTTGGCTATTCTGAGCTTCAGTATGCAAGGGGCCTCACACCACCTTGGTAGGTGAGGGGTTGAGCTACTGTACTCATGGATGCAAGAGCCTTGGCCTAAGGGAGTACTATCCGGTGTGCAAGCTCCCTGGTGTGTATATGAGGCTGGAGGGGCGTCATTCTGAGTATGCGGGGGGGGGGTGTCTAGGAGGCTGTTTATCCCTTGGCTCTTGTGTTCTAAGACCACTGAGGTTTTCAGGAGCGCTGGGAGGAAAGTTTGGGAGGTCTTGGTGTCAGCTTCAAGCCTCTCTTTCAGGGACCAAAGGACATTTCCTTGATTTTGCACCTTGGGCTCCCTTCCAGCCTTCCTCCTGCTGTGAGTGGGAGCCTTGGACCTTGGGACTGATGTAGCAAGCTGCCCACTGTGCTGGAAGCTAACCAGCCAGCCTCACGTTTGCTTCAGCTGGTTCTTTCTAGCCCAGAGAAGCTGAGGGGCTTTGAGGGGCCTCAGCCCTGCAGGGCCTCTCATGGTCTGGCCTGGTGTCTCTCTAGCTGGGATTCTTCAAGCGGGCGAAGCACCCCGAGGCCGTCGTGCCCCAGTACCATGCCGTGAAGATCCCTCGGGAAGACCGGCAGCAGTTCAAGGAGGAGAAGACAGGCACCATTCAGAGGAGCAACTGGGGCGCCTCCCAGTGGGAGGGCTCTGATGCGCATCCCATCTTGGCTGCCGACTGGCACCCTGAGCTGGGTCCTGATGGACAGCCTATGCCACTCTCTGCCTAAGTTCTCTTCACCCTTCCTCAAGGCTGTACCTTGGGGTGGAGATGGTGGAGTAGGCTTCTGGCATCATTGAGATATGGCAGGCTCTGTCTCCTTAGGGGGCAGTTCTCTCCCACTGTGAGAACCACCCCTCTGGCTTCCCGTTACAATGCTGTGAGATGAGGAGGGCATATCAGGGATGGGCTGTGGGACATGGCTGGGAGGGCAGGATGGGGAGAAGGGGTCCCAAGCTTCCTCTCTCACCCACCCTGTAACCCCTGTCTTCCCCAAAGTGCCTTAGACAGAGGGTCAGGGAGGAGATCGTGTCACTGTCTCAGGGGCTCTTCCTTCCCTAGTCTTTCCTGTCCTCTGGCCCTCGAGTGCTGTCCCAGCCTAGCAAATTTGTTTATTTATTAAAAAGTATTTGATGATAAAAACTCTGGTTGCTTTATTGAGTGCTGTGTTTCCATGTTGAGGGTTTCTGCTTCTCTCTGGTCTTCTGAAGCTCAGGACAGAGTGGGTAGTGGGGGAGGAGGCTGAGGTGACCTGGTGTGTTGACTTGTGATTGGTTTCAAGGGGCACATGGGTGTAGTCTCAGGACAGCAGCGAGAACTTAACCAGTGGGACAAGGGAGAGGGAGAACAGGGGCCCTAGAAGTGGGTGGACTAAGTCCAGAGCTTTGCAGTAGTTTTCTGCCTCTGGAGAAGGCAGGGAGAAAGCCACACTGGTGTAACCCCGGCAGTACTGGGCTGGCTTCTGGCCGCAGGCAGGGGAGAGCAGGCGACCTCCCTGGGGGGAGTTATTTCACAGCTTTTCCCATTATGTGGGGCCCGACAGGTAGGCACCTGAAGAGAGGGGGCTGCCATTCCATTTGGACATCAGAGAACTGTGCCCTCTCAATGTCTTTCCAGGTCTCTCTGGTGAGGTGGCAGCCATCCCCGAAGCGTTTCCAGGTAGGCTCGAAAAGTCGCTGCCACAGGAAGGCCAGGCTTTCCCGAGGCTCAGCCACATGCTCCCAGAAGAACAGCACTCCTCCCTGGGAGGGGGGAAGAAGGGAGTTAAGGCTTCTCGGCTCCATCTTGCTCTTTTTGTCAAACCTCCCTTCCTTCTTAGACCCAGCTTGCCAGATCTCTCTGAAGTAAGAGCTTCTGGCTGGGGAAGTCTATGGAGCCAACTGCTCCTGAATTATCTGTACACCCAGCTCCTGCTCCTCAGCACATACAAGGAGCTTCTGCCAACTGGGTGACCATGATAGGTCACAGAACAGTAGCAACTGAGGGTTCCAGCACTGGGACACAGGACTTGTCTACCATGTTCTTGCTCAAAACCTTTGTGATTAAGTTACCAAAAGTTGAAAAAAGTCTTATTATGTCTTAAATAAATTTACAATTTTGTGTTGGGCCACTTTCATAGCTAACCTGGGACTGTGCGTTAGACACCAGCTAGATAGAGATGTGAGATCTCTCCTGAGATGCTGGGGTTCTGGCTACAGTTGGACTTCCGTAAGCACCTTCCCCAGTGTCCTCTTCCTAGGGGGTTCATTCAGTACCACACTGAATTACCGCTGGAAGGTCAGGCTGCCCCGCGGTCATTCTCCAGAGCACCTCTTGTCCTGACTTGCAGACCTGTGTGGCTTCTCTGCATGGATGTCTTAGCAGGTCCTGAGACACAATATGTCCAGAAAAGTTTTTCCACTCCAGCAAGTAGACTTTTCATCCACTCTCCCTTTAGCTGTGCAAGCCAGAAACTCTGGAAATTATCCTAAATTCTTTCCTTTCCACACCCAGCTCAAACTCTCATAGACTCTACTCCCGCTAACATTTTTACTTGAAGACTTTTATCCCCCAACATCCTCCATCACAACTTTTACCCCCACTTCCTCCTCTTCCAGAACACTTTTACCCCCACTTCCTCCTCATCTAGAAGAATTTTATCCCCCACTTCCTCCTCATCCAGAACACTTTTACCCTAACTTTCTCCTCATCTAGAACACTTTTACCCCCACTTCCTCCTCATCTAGAAC